ATTTTCATGCTCCAACAATCTCCCCCTAAATGCTCGGAAATGATGAGGGTAAAGCAGTGATGAAAGGCAGAACATCCGACAGGCAAGTCCGGTGGGTCTGGTGCTGAAGTGTCTCGGAAGTGCTGAAGTAGTCGTGATCTCGGAATCTGGCAATGGAATCTCTAGCATCAAAGAACAAGTAGAGAAACCCCAATCTCTGAATAAAATTATGAAATCCCAATCTTCGAGTGTGATTAGTTGTAACAATTGGTAAAAATAGGAACGATCGTACGATGCTATGTTTTGATTATTAAGAAATATGAGTATTTTATCAAGAATGGTTGAAGGAATTTAACCGCTTTTATTTAAATAAGTTATTGTGAAATATAAAACAAGTAGCTATTGATAAATTTCGTTATGATGTATGGTTACGAACCATCACCGGTTTGTGAAATTAGCATATAACATCATTTGAACGCAACAAACTTAATTTTTGTATCAACATGTATCTAGTTGATAATTAAGTTAGGTTCTATGTAAAACGTGTGCTTAATAGTTGTGTAGGATCTAAATTCGACAAATATACGAACCAAGGTGACAAAACGTGTTTAACGATATGGTTAACCGGTTAAATGTCACGAAGTTATACATTGGTCAATAAATTTTATATTTAAATAAATTAAAATATAAAATGAATTATTATAAGGTATAATTAAAATTTATCTAAGTTTTTTTGAATAAAAAGAATAAAACATAAACATTAAAGTTCAAATACACAAAAACTACATTGTTATTTTATACTAAGTATACATGTATGTATTTGTACATATGTATTATTATCTAGTGAATGACTAGTTATGGGTCATTACTTAAAGTGATTTCATGTAAGGAATATGATTTCTAAATCAATTAAGATAAGAGAATTGGTGGAGATAAGTGCCAACTTAACTAATAAGTGCTTAATCACTTAAGACATTTTACTAAGAATGCTTATTAATCCCTCTTCTAATTTTCAAGATTAAGACCTTCCCTCTCCTTACCTAGAACTCCTAACTAACTAAATAACTAGTAGTTAGTTAGTTAACTAACCCCATCTCTAAGAAACCACCCAAGCAAGTGGCTAGACAAGATCACATCACTTAAACTCACATCCCATCACAAGCTAGTCTAGGTTTTGTCCCCTTATCCTCTTCCACTCTTTCCTCCTTCATATCCACGAAATTTCATCTTCATTTTACCCTCATTTGACCAGCCAATACTCCATGGAATTACTCTCAACCTTCATCTCATTTTCAAGCACAAGAACTTCCTTCCAAAGCTATCAAAACCATGAACTAAAGGGCTGCTGTCCCTTTTGTGTTTCAGCCACCATTTCACCCATCTACACCTTCCTTTTTGCATGATATTTTTACCACCAAATACCCCTGGAAGTTACTTGTTATGATACTCAAAATTATTGATTCAAAACAGTGAGTAAACTACCCTTTTTCTTGCTCTTTTGCTGTGAAATTTTCGTGACAGCAACATTGCCAAAAGAGTGGCTGTTTTGGAGCATCAAACCAACAACCAAAAGTTCATCTTCAACCTTCCATTCTTCAAGTATTCACATAAGGTGAGTTCATACCCCTACATTTTCATGTTTTCTTCAAGTTCTAAGGGGGGGGGGGGGGGGGGGAATTCAAATTAGAACACTAAACATAACTTAAATTTAAATGACAGCTTTCTACAGAAAAGTTGAGTCTTGTTCACGGACTGTTTTGACCATGTTAATCTTAATATATTTCAAAACTGTACAATATGCAAATAGTTCAAGTATATACCTTTCTAAGGACTACTCGCACGCATTCATACGATTTTTCTACAATTTATGGCGATTTTTATAAAACTGCCTGTCATTTCAGAAGTGATTTCGGACCAGTCTGTGAAGATGTTCATTTTCACACTAGTTTGAGACCACTAAAAATCATAATAAAAATTGATAACAAAGTAGACTCATTTTATAAACTCTCAGAGGTGACGGATTCAATTTTTGACTTACGATGATTTTTCTATGAGTTTTCTAAAAACAGGGACAGTAAACGGTAAAACTGTCAAAAGTGGTTTATAGATTTATTAACACCTTCTAACATTTTTGAGCAATGTTTATACATTAAGGAAGCTCAAACACAATCATTTAAATATGTTTAATTACCATTTTTACAAAAGTGATAAGTACAAAAAGGTCTTTAGTATCAAACTTAAGGATTATTTCATGCAAAGTTTCTAATAAAAACGTAAGAATATGAACAACAATTACAAAACATACCAAATCATCTTTTAAAACTTATACATATATATAACCATATACATATGTATGTTTTGTTTACAAACTTGTCTTCTACATCAAAAATTTCACGTTACTCGTTTTTATCAAATGAATCACTTGTGATTTATTACTACTATGTGAAAACTCTTGTCATACTTTGCATGCACTAGATTTATACAAAGTATTTAGAAATTCCAAAGTATCCTTTGTTGTTAAACCGTTTTAATACATTTTTAAAAACTTATGATTTATGCATTGTCAAAACTTTGTGAGAAAGGATGATCTTTGCATACAAAACTACTACTTTAATACAGACTTAGTTGAGAATCCATGAGACGTGTACATCTTCAAATACTGCCTTTTGTTAGAAGGTATCGCTACAAGTCCTGTCTATAACCAGAGTCTCCCGTTCGGAGAACGTGTCAAATGTGTATAGATCTATACGGGAAGTCATGATCCCACGCCTGACTGTTAGCTACAGTCCATCCTTTGGGGTGACAGTTTGTCATAACGCTACGACGCCTGAAGAACGTCGCTACAGGCATATTATGTTTAGTGTGGTTATAAAACTCACCGGATATACAATTATTATGGTATTATGCTTTTATTAATGAGTAGCTATTAAAACTATTCTTCATCTAACAAGTGCGATCTTCGTATAGCTTTATTATATAAAACTATGCCACAACTTTTAAGCACGTCGGTTGCTTGCGATTTTCAGTCTTAGAGGCTGCCAGTTATGTTAGGAAAATAAGGGTTTTTCCTGGATACAAACCAAACAACTAATAGGAAAATAAGGGATTTTCCTGGTGCAATTACTTACAACTTATAACACGAACATTCATATGCATTTCAAACTTTTATAAGAAAATAAGGGTTTTTCTTGGAAAACACAACAATTCATATCTCAACCATTAGGGAAAATATGGGATTTTCTGGATCTAATACATTCATTTTCAACACATTTGAAACACTACGTTTTCTGGAAAACATACACGAACTTTCGAATGGCGTACATTTTCTCAAAACACTACTCATGAACTCACCAACTTAATTGTTGACACTTTTTCTTTGAAATAACTTGTATTCTCAGGGAACCACTAAGTAGATTTGGAAATCAACTTTTGGAGATTAACGTGGTGACGTGAATTACTTCTTTTGAAAGATGTTTATGTATTTAACTTTTGAACATGTAACGAATACAATTATGTAAACATTTTGGAAACTTTAATATATATGGTGGTGTGTACTTTCCTTTCTATGAACTGTTATGATACTGAATATGACGTCCTCCGCCCCTGAACGTTTCCGCCATTCTGGTTTGGGGGTGTAACAGATTGGTATTAGAGCATCGTTTATAGTGAATTAAGTATATCAAAACCATTTTTGGTATACAACTATAAACTCAACTGGGCAAAAACACTCTGAGAAGAGTCATACTTTTGAAATTAAATTTATTTAGTTTTTGTAAAGTAAGCATGCATTCATTTCGTACTAATAACAGTTTCACATCGGACCATTTTAGAAGTATTATAAATAAGTTGTGCAGTGCAGGTACACCTTGGGACATGTAATCGGAACTGGGAAGGATATAGCCTGATCAACTATATTTGTCCGAGAGCCGACTAACGTGTGCCGAGGAGTGTCTGTAGTGGACAACAAATTTAAAACTTACCAACAAACCATACAAAGAAAACTTTAACATACAAATTTAAAATACTATAGGAGTATTTTGCGTTACAATAGAACCACACACTTAGATTCTTCATATGCTTCTTACCCCTATTCTCGCATAGGCATATAAGCTAGACTTCATCTCCACATAGACCCCTACTATCCTGCCACCTAAGCCAATAGATGGATCAAGAAGGATCCAGAAGAAGATTTCGAAGAGTACCAATGGATGAAATACGAGGAAGAAGATTTCCGAGATGGGACCAGATGGAGAAAGAAGTTCGGGAGATACCATCAATAAACCTTACCCTATCAAGAGGAGTGTAAGAACCTCCACCTCTCATTTCAGGAAGCAACCCGCGATTAACTACCTAGCCACACATATAGACTGGAGAGGACAACCGATGATCCATAACTGACATAAACTCACTACACCATACTTCGGGCCATAGCACCCATAGACCGGCAAGCAGATCAAGAGAACAATACGGATCACCTACACTCCTTAGAAAAGGAGATAGTCGTTATAGGACAAAGAACCCTTACAGCTACAACCTAGACAGTCATCACAGAACTGAGAGCAGAGGAGGCCACTCGCAAAATAGAATCATGCCGACACATGAAGGTAATCAGCATACTAGCGCAACACTAGTTCTATAAATAGACCACACAACATTTCAAATTGTGGTAACAGTCGCCGTGACAGCAGTCATGGCACACCTCGGCGCAAACAACACAAACAAAAGCAGGAACAACGCCGAAAGTTCCAATCGTAATAACAACCAGGGACACCCCGAGTATGTTCCTGCAACGACGCCCCAAACCAAGGACCTACCAAAAGACAACAAATAGTGAAATTCCATGCCACCACCATCCCTACTACCTCAGTGCCGACAAGACCATATGTTGGAAACCTGCCAAAATGCACCAAGTGTAGCTTTCATCACAAAGGAAAGTGCAGGGAAATGCACTGCAAGAACTGTAATAAAAAGGGGCATACCACCATGTATTGTAAATAAGTTTTATGTTTACTATGATATGGTTAAATACTCAACAAAAGTTGGTGTACGTACCCAACATCAAAAGGATCATAGGTTCCATATACTTCAAATCCAACAACCACATTTGGATCAGCATACTTGTGTAGTATTCTATGGTGTCTTAAACCATCTCTTTCCGTGAGTTGCTTCAACTCAACGCCATGGTTGGTGGAAACCAACTTTCCAGCTTCAGAGTCGCCGGAAACCCAAGAGCACCAACGGCCTGCAGCAACACTAGACACAACACTGTCGAAGAAACCATTGGTCGTACAGAAATATAAGAGAAAAGTAATAGTGTTGGAATGAAAAATCGTATAAGAGATAAGTAATATTGTTGGAATGAAACATCATGTGGTGCATTTCATTACAGGGGAAATATATATACATGGAGAAGAAAACTATCAACCAACTGTAAACAATGATGAAATCAATTTCATTACAAAATACTGATTGAGATATTCATCCTAAAAATAGAACTAGGGCTCTTTCAACTAACATTGGGTTGTGGCTCCACGGTTTGAACTTACATGATATATTATAATTACACTTTTTTGTAGTTACATTTCTCATTTATATAGTTACTATATTTAATTACGATTTTATTTCTTTAAAATATTACTCAGATATATATATCTTTGTCAATATATATTGTCAACAATTATAGGAGCGACAAATTGTAAAATGTAAACATTATCAAAAGATTATATAGGTTTATAGAAACACAAAGAAGTAATAAGATATGTTTGCATTAATGGAAAGAATGAAAAATTCATTCCAAGAAGTTGTGTGGAATTATTCTGTATCAAAAACTATACGTTCTACTAACTAACGCTCCTATATATAATTGTTAAATAAGCATATGAAAGAATCCTAAGTCGAAAGTTCGGAATTAAGAAAATACGCTAAACATTACAACTAGACACAATATATTTTTGAATCCAAACATATATATATATATATATATATATATATATATATATATATATATATATATATATATATATATATATATAAGTTCAGGTTTAGTTAAGACAATGTTAATTTTATGAGACCAAATCTAAAAATAATTTTAAAATGCAAAACAAAAGGAAAAATCCAAAAACTCTTTTTTTAATTATAATTTTTGGAAATTGAGTTCTCTGAAAAAATAATAAATAAAATTAAAAAAAAAAATCTCGTTTTATTTTTAAAACACGTGAAATATTCTAATAGAATATTACACTATAAATATTCTAATGTGATCTTTAGAATGTTAGAATATTTGCCAGATATGTAGCATATTCTAATATTCTACTAGAACATGTAAAAAAATGTATTTTATTTATTTATTGTGGTATTTTTTTTTGGAAAAAATATATTTCGAACATAGTATTGGAAAATTGTTATTTCGAAAATTCTCAATTTTTTTTTTATTTTAAAAATGTTTTCGTTTTATCTACTAAATGTGTATCTAGGATTGCGTCTCACGGTCTCATAAAATTAGGCCATCTCACATTAATAAATAAATATAAAGAAAATAAAAACTTACATTGACTTCACAAGTGGAGTGAAGACTAGATCGGGCATGACTGGTGTGCCAAAGGCCAAAATCCCACCTCCATCACCACCAGCTAGACAATGTCCAAAGGAATTTGGTGCAATCCCTTGTGATGAAATTTGGGAAATGACGGATATAATTTGTCTGCCCAATCCCATAATCTCATCAAGTGTTCTTTCCGTTTGACTTATCTGTCCTGTTTCGGATGTGCTACAGCTGCTCATGCAAAATTCACTAAATCAACCAACTTATTTAAAGAGAATAAAAGAAGGAAGAGAAATTAAATTCTATAGTTGATGATACATGAGAACTTACCCAAATAAAACTGAAGTTGAAGTGTTCAACCAATCTGTCTAGCCAACAATTATTCTAAAATGCATCAAGTCGGATACATAATAACCTTATGTTCCACTACCAACCCCTTAGTGGAGATCGTAGGTGCATTGGTTATCTGAACATGAGTTGGATTTTGGAGAACATCTTTCGTCCTAGCATAAGATAGTAGAAGATGTTGACGAGTTTGCTGGATCATAGATAGTAATAGGAATCTGTACAAAGAAAGAAATCATATATAAAGTAACAATACTAGTTAATTGAAAAAGTCACACCTTATAAGAAATGATCAGAACATACTTGTAGTGTGGATGATGTAGGGCAAGATTGACAGGGTTTGCAACCGACCCACAACAAGTCGCTTCCTGTATCAATCACTAAATTGTATTCTTTTGCAGGGAATCCTAGCTTTATTTTTGTGTAGTACAAGATACAAGTTAACCAAATTACAACATGTTAAGGAATTGAAGAACAAGTGGCTAAGAACGGGAAAGATTGACTTGTTCACAAAGTCTTTCAAGTATAACTAAAACATACGCAAGTATTGAACAAGTGCAGGTCTTTGTTCATCAAAAACTATAAAACGAAACATGAGCTAGAATTTAAAAAACAATTACCAAGAACATCAAATATGACAGTTTTTCCCAAAATACCCCCGACAGCAAAACTCTAATAAAGAAATAACAATTGAAGAATATTTATAACTGAAAACGCTAAACAAAAACACTAGCGGTTGCATCAATGGAAGATCTAGGAAGACATTAGGATTAGCATAATAAGAAGAAACATCCATCTCTTAATTTGCAATTCTATAATTCCCATACAAGTAGTTTTAGGATTTCTACAAAGAACATTCCTTCGGTAAACATCTCAAAACTGTCATGATTAAATGATTAATAGACGTCATATTCCAATTAAAAAAAATAAAAAGAACAAGTTTCATTTTGTATTGTAACCCATTAGATGCAGGCGATGATGGTATCTCTGGGTCTCCTGTGACTTCTTGTTTTTTATGCACCGATTAGTAGTAATCAAGTAAGAAGGCGATTCAAGGATTGGTGGTCCAGTTTAACAACAAAAATGATGAATACTCTGGCGATAAAGAAAACTTAAGACGACGACGGAATAGGAGGAAGATGAAGGGACCGGCGGTCTAGTTTCTTTACTTACTTTTGTAATATAAAAATTAAAAAGTATTGGTTCGGAACTAATTCACTGTTTTTGGGTAAATATATTTGAAACTACCATGTATTGTAAATAAGTTTTATGTTTACTATGATATGGTTAAATACTCAAAAAAAGTTGGTGTACGTACCCAGCATCAAAAGGATCATAGGTTCCATATACTTCAAATCCAACAACCACATTTGGATCAGCATACTTGTGTAGTATTCTATGGTGTCTTAAACCATCTCTTTCCGTGAGTTGCTTCAACTCAACGCCATGGTTGGTGGGAAACGATCTTTCCAGCTTCAGAGTCGCCGGAAACCCAAGAGCACCAACGGCCTGCAGCAACACTAGACACAACACTGTCGAAGAAACCATTGGTCGTACAGAAATATAAGAGAAAAGTAATAGTGTTGGAATGAAAAATCGTATAAGAGATAAGTAATATTGTTGGAATGAAACATCATGTGGTGCATTTCATTACAGGGGAAATATATATACATGGAGAAGAAAACTATCAACCAACTGTAAACAATGATGAAATCAATTTCATTACAAAATACTGATTGAGATATTCATCCTAAAAATAGAACTAGGGCTCTTTCAACTAAAATTGGGTTGTGGCCCCACGGTTTGAACTTACATGATATATTATAATTACACTTTTTTGTAGGTACATTTCTCATTTATATAGTTACTATATTTAATTACGATTTTATTTCTTTAAAATATTATTCAGATATATATATATATATATATATATATATATATATATATATATATATATATATATATCTTTGTCAATATATATTGTCAACAATTATAGGAGCGACAAATTGTAAAATGTAAACATTATCAAAAGATTATATAGGTTTATAGAAACACAAAGAAGTAATAAGATATGTTTGCATTAATGGAAAGAATGAAAAATTCATTCCAAGAAGTTGTGTGGAATTATTCTGTATCAAAAACTATCCGTTCTACTAACTAACGCTCCTATATATAATTGTTAAATAAGCATATGAAAGAATCCTAAGTCGAAAGTTCGGAATTAAGAAAATACGCTAAACATTACAACTAACACAATATATTTTGAATCCAAACATATATATATATATATATATATATATATATATATATATATATATATATATATATATATATATATATATAAGTTCAGGTTTAGTTAAGACAATGTTAATTTTATGAGACCAAATCTAAAAATAATTTTAAAATGCAAAACAAAAGGAAAAATCCAAAAACTCTTTTTTTAATTATAATTTTTGGAAATTGAGTTATCTGAAAAAATAACTAAATAAAATTAAAAAAAAAATCCCGTTTTATTTTTAAAACACGTGAAATATTTAATAGAATATTACACTATAAATATTCTAATGTGATCTTTAGAATGTTAGAATATTTGCCAGATATGTAGAATATTCTAATATTCTACTAGAACATGTAAAAAATGTATTTTATTTATTTATTGTGGTATTTTTTTTGGAAGAAATATATTTCGAACATAGTATTGGAAAATTGTTATTTCGAAAATTCTCAATTCTTTTTTATTTTAAAAATGTTTTCGTTTTATCTACTAAATGTGTATCTAGGATTGCATCTCACGGTCTCATAAAATTAGGCCATCTCACATTAATAAATAAATATAAAGAAAATAAAAACTTACATTGACTTCACAAGTGGAGTGAAGACTAGATCGGGCATGACTGGTGTGCCAAAGGCCAAAATCCCACCTCCATCACCACCAGCTAGACAATGTCCAAAGGAATTTGGTGCAATCCCTTGTGATGAAATTTGGGAAATGACGGATATAATTTGTCTGCCCAATCCCATAATCTCATCAAGTGTTCTTTCCGTTTGACTTATCTGTCCTGTTTCGGATGTGCTACAGCTGCTCATGCAAAATTCACTAAATCAACCAACTTATTTAAAGAGAATAAAAGAAGGAAGAGAAATTAAATTCTATAGTTGATGATACATGAGAACTTACCCAAATAAAACTGAAGTTGAAGTGTTCAACCAATCTGTCTAGCCAACAATTATTCTAAAATGCATCAAGTCGGATACATAATAACCTTATGTTCCACTACCAACCCCTTAGTGGAGATCGTAGGTGCATTGGTTATCTGAACATGAGTTGGATTTTGGAGAACATCTTTCGTCCTAGCATAAGATAGCAGAAGATGTTGACGAGTTTGCTGGATCATAGATAGTAATAGGAATCTGTACAAAGAAAGAAATCATATATAAAGTACCAATACTAGTTAATTGAAAAAGTCACACCTTATAAGAAATGATCAGAACATACTTGTAGTGTGGATGATGTAGGGCAAGATTGACAGGGTTTGCAACCGACCCACAACAAGTCGCTTCCTGTATCAATCACTAAATTGTATTCTTTTGCAGGGAATCCTAGCTTTATTTTTGTGTAGTACAAGATACAAGTTAACCAAATTACAACATGTTAAGGAATTGAAGAACAAGTGGCTAAGAACGGGAAAGATTGACTTGTTCACAAAGTCTTTCAAGTATAACTAAAACATACGCAAGTATTGAACAAGTGCAGGTCTTTTCATCAAAAACTATAAAACGAAACATGAGCTAGAATTTAAAAAACAATTACCAAGAACATCAAATATGACAGTTTTTCCCAAAATACCCCCGACAGCAAAACTCTAATAAAGAAATAACAATTGAAGAATATTTATAACTGAAAACGCTAAACAAAAACACTAGCGGTTGCATCAATGGAAGATCTAGGAAGATATTAGATTAGCATAACAAGAAGAAACATGCATCTCTTATTTGCAATTCTATAATTCCCATACAAGTAGTTTTAGGATTTCTACAAAGAACATTCCTTCGGTAAACATCTCAAAACTGTCATGATTAAATGATTAATAGACGTCATATTCCAATTAAAAAAAATAAAAAGAACAAGTTTCATTTGTATTGTAACCCATTAGATGCAGGCGATGATGGTATCTTGGGTCTCCTGTGACTTCTTGTTTTTTATGCACCGATTAGTAGTAATCAAGTAAGAAGGCGATTCAGGATTGGTGGTCCAGTTTAACAACAAAAATGATGAATACTCCGGCGATAAAGAAAACTTAAGACGACGACGGAATAGGAGGAAGATGAAGGGACCGGCGGTCTAGTTTCTTTACTTACTTTTGTAATATAAAAATTAAAAAATATTGGTTCGGAACTAATTCACTGTTTTTGGTAAATATATTTGAAACTACCATGTATTGTAAATAAGTTTTATGTTTACTATGATATGGTTAAATACTCAACAAAAGTTGGTGTACGTACCCAGCATCAAAAGGATCATAGGTTCCATATACTTCAAATCCAACAACCACATTTGGATCAGCATACTTGTGTAGTATTCTATGGTGTCTTAAACCATCTCTTTCCGTGAGTTGCTTCAACTCAACGCCATGGTTGGTGGGAAACGATCTTTCCAGCTTCAGAGTCGCCGGAAACCCAAGAGCACCAACGGCCTGCAGCAACACTAGACACAACACTGTCGAAGAAACCATTGGTCGTACAGAAATATAAGAGAAAAGTAATAGTGTTGGAATGAAAAATCGTATAAGAGATAAGTAATATTGTTGGAATGAAACATCATGTGGTGCATTTCATTACAGGGGAAATATATATACATGGAGAAAAAACTATCAACCAACTGTAAACAATGATGAAATCAATTTCATTACAAAATACTGATTGAGATATTCATCCTAAAAATAGAACTAGGGCTCTTTCAACTAAATTGGGTTGTGGCCCCACGGTTTGAACTTACATGATATATTATAATTACACTTTTTTGTAGTTACATTTCTCATTTATATAGTTACTATATTTAATTACGATTTTATTTTTAAAATATTACTCAGATATATATATATATATATATATATATATATATATATATATATATATATATATATATATATATATATATATATATATATCTTTGTCAATATATATTGTCAACAATTATAGGAGCGACAAATTGTAAAATGTAAACATTATCAAAAGATTATATAGGTTTATAGAAACACAAAGAAGTAATAAGATATGTTTGCATTAATGGAAAGAATGAAAAATTCATTCCAAGAAGTTGTGTGGAATTATTCTGTATCAAAAACTATCCGTTCTACTAACTAACGCTCCTATATATAATTGTTAAATAAGCATATGAAAGAATCCTAAGTCGAAAGTTCGGAATTAAGAAAATACGCTAAACATTACAACTAGACACAATATATTTTTGAATCCAAACATATATATATATATATATATATATATATATATATATATATATATATATATATATATATAAGTTCAGGTTTAGTTAAGACAATGTTAATTTTATGAGACCAAATCTAAAAATAATTTTAAAATGCAAAACAAAAGGAAAAATCCAAAAACTCTTTTTTTAATTATAATTTTTGGAAATTGAGTTATCTGAAAAAATAACTAAATAAAATTAAAAAAAAAATCCCGTTTTATTTTTAAAACACGTGAAATATTCTAATAGAATATTACACTATAAATATTCTAATGTGATCTTTAGAATGTTAGAATATTTGCCAGATATGTAGAATATTCTAATATTCTACTAGAACATGTAAAAAAATGTATTTTATTTATTTATTGTGGTATTTTTTTTTGGAAAAAATATATTTCGAACATAGTATTGGAAAATTGTTATTTCGAAAATTCTCAATTCTTTTTTATTTTAAAAATGTTTTCGTTTTATCTACTAAATGTGTATCTAGGATTGCATCTCACGGTCTCATAAAATTAGGCCATCTCACATTAATAAATAAATATAAAGAAAATAAAAACTTACATTGACTTCACAAGTGGAGTGAAGACTAGATCGGGCATGACTGGTGTGCCAAAGGCCAAAATCCCACCTCCATCACCACCAGCTAGACAATGTCCAAAGGAATTTGGTGCAATCCCTTGTGATGAAATTTGGGAAATGACGGATATAATTTGTCTGCCCAATCCCATAATCTCATCAAGTGTTCTTTCCGTTTGACTTATCTGTCCTGTTTCGGATGTGCTACAGCTGCTCATGCAAAATTCACTAAATCAACCAACTTATTTAAAGAGAATAAAAGAAGGAAGAGAAATTAAATTCTATAGTTGATGATACATGAGAACTTACCCAAATAAAACTGAAGTTGAAGTGTTCAACCAATCTGTCTAGCCAACAATTATTCTAAAATGCATCAAGTCGGATACATAATAACCTTATGTTCCACTACCAACCCCTTAGTGGAGATCGTAGGTGCATTGGTTATCTGAACATGAGTTGGATTTTGGAGAACGTCTTTCGTCCTAGCATAAGATAGCAGAAGATGTTGACGAGTTTGCTGGATCATAGATAGTAATAGGAATCTGTACAAAGAAAGAAATCATATATAAAGTACCAATACTAGTTAATTGAAAAAGTCACACCTTATAAGAAATGATCAGAACATACTTGTAGTGTGGATGATGTAGGGCAAGATTGACAGGGTTTGCAACCGACCCACAACAAGTCGCTTCCTGTATCAATCACTAATTGTATTCTTTTGCAGGGAATCCTAGCTTTATTTTTGTGTAGTACAAGATACAAGTTAACCAAATTACAACATGTTAAGGAATTGAAGAACAAGTGGCTAAGAACGGGAAAGATTGACTTGTTCACAAAGTCTTTCAAGTATAACTAAAACATACGCAAGTATTGAACAAGTGCAGGTCTTTGTTCATCAAAAACTATAAAACGAAACATGAGCTAGAATTTAAAAAACAATTACCAAGAACATCAAATATGACAGTTTTTCCCAAAATACCCCCGACAGCAAAACTCTAATAAAGAAATAACAATTGAAGAATATTTATAACTGAAAACGCTAAACAAAAACACTAGCGTTGCATCAATGGAAGATCTAGGAAGACATTAGATTAGCATAACAAGAAGAAACATCCATCTCTTAATTTGCAATTCTATAATTCCCATACAAGTAGTTTTAGGATTTCTACAAAGAACATTCCTTCGGTAAACATCTCAAAACTGTCATGATTAAATGATTAATAGACGTCATATTCCAATTAAAAAAAATAAAAGAACAAGTTTCATTTTGTATTGTAACCCATTAGATGCAGGCGATGATGGTATCTCTGGGTCTCCTGTGACTTCTTGTTTTTTATGCACCGATTAGTAGTAATCAAGTAAGAAGGCGATTCAAGGATTGGTGGTCCAGTTTAACAACAAAAATGATGAATACTCCGGCGATAAAGAAAACTTAAGACGACGACGGAATAGGAGGAAGATGAAGGGACCGGCGGTCTAGTTTCTTTACTTACTTTTGTAATATAAAAATTAAAAATATTGGTTCGGAACTAATTCACTGTTTTTGGTAAATATATTTGAAACTACCATGTATTGTAAATAAGTTTTATGTTTACTATGATATGGTTAAATACTCAACAAAAGTTGGTGTACGTACCCAGCATCAAAAGGATCATAGGTTCCATATACTTCAAATCCAACAACCACATTTGGATCAGCATACTTGTGTAGTATTCTATGGTGTCTTAAACCATCTCTTTCCGTGAGTTGCTTCAACTCAACGCCATGGTTGGTGGGAAACGATCTTTCCAGCTTCAGAGTCGCCGGAAACCCAAGAGCACCAACGGCCTGCAGCAACACTAGACACACACTGTCGAAGAAACCATTGGTCGTACAGAAATATAAGAGAAAAGTAATAGTGTTGGAATGAAAAATCGTATAAGAGATAAGTAATATTGTTGGAATGAAACATCATGTGGTGCATTTCATTACAGGGGAAATATATATACATGGAGAAGAAAACTATCAACCAACTGTAAACAATGATGAAATCAATTTCATTACAAAATACTGATTGAGATATTCATCCTAAAAATAGAACTAGGGCTCTTTCAACTAAATTGGGTTGTGGCCCCACGGTTTGAACTTACATGATATATTATAATTACACTTTTTTGTAGGTACATTTCTCATTTATATAGTTACTATATTTAATTACGATTTTATTTCTTTAAAATATTATTCAGATAAATATATATATATATATATATATATATATATATATATATATAATATATATATATATCTTTGTCAATATATATTGTCAACAATTATAGGAGCGACAAATTGTAAAATGTAAACATTATCAAAAGATTATATAGGTTTATAGAAACACAAAGAAGTAATAAGATATGTTTGCATTAATGGAAAGAATGAAAAATTCATTCCAAGAAGTTGTGTGGAATTATTCTGTATCAAAAACTATCCGTTCTACTAACTAACGCTCCTATATATAATTGTTAAATAAGCATATGAAAGAATCCTAAGTCGAAAGTTCGGAATTAAGAAAATACGCTAAACATTACAACTAGACACAATATATTTTTGAATACCAAACATCTATATATATATAAGTTCAGGTTTAGTTAAGACAATGTTAATTTTATGAGACCAAATCTAAAAATAATTTTAAAATGCAAAACAAAAGGAAAAATCCAAAAACTCTTTTTTTAATTATAATTTTTGGAAATTGAGTTCTCTGAAAAAATAACTAAATAAAATTAAAAAAAAAATCCCGTTTTATTTTTAAAACACGTGAAATATTCTAATAGAATATTACACTATAAATATTCTAATGTGATCTTTAGAATGTTAGAATATTTGCCAGATATGTAGAATATTCTAATATTCTACTAGAACATGTAAAAAAATGTATTTTATTTATTTATTGTGGTATTTTTTTTTGGAAAAAATATATTTCGAACATAGTATTGGAAAATTGTTATTTCGAAAATTCTCAATTCTTTTTTATTTTAAAAATGTTTTCGTTTTATCTACTAAATGTGTATCTAGGATTGCATCTCACGGTCTCATAAAATTAGGCCATCTCACATTAATAAATAAATATAAAGAAAATAAAACATTGACAAGTGGAGTGAAGACTAGATCGGGCATGACTGGTGTGCCAAAGGCCAAAATCCCACCTCCATCACCACCAGCTAGACAATGTCCAAAGGAATTTGGTGCAATCCCTTGTGATGAAATTTGGGAAATGACGGATATAATTTGTCTGCCCAATCCCATAATCTCATCAAGTGTTCTTTCCGTTTGACTTATCTGTCCTGTTTCGGATGTGCTACAGCTGCTCATGCAAAATTCACTAAATCAACCAACTTATTTAAAGAGAATAAAAGAAGGAAGAGAAATTAAATTCTATAGTTGATGATACATGAGAACTTACCCAAATAAAACTGAAGTTGAAGTGTTCAACCAATCTGTCTAGCCAACAATTATTCTAAAATGCATCAAGTCGGATACATAATAACCTTATGTTCCACTACCAACCCCTTAGTGGAGATCGTAGGTGCATTGGTTATCTGAACATGAGTTGGATTTTGGAGAACATCTTTCGTCCTAGCATAAGATAGCAGAAGATGTTGACGAGTTTGCTGGATCATAGATAGTAATAGGAATCTGTACAAAGAAAGAAATCATATATAAATACCTACTAGTTAATTGAAAAAGTCACACCTTATAAGAAATGATCAGAACATACTTGTAGTGTGGATGATGTAGGGCAAGATTGACAGGGTTTGCAACCGACCCACAACAAGTCGCTTCCTGTATCAATCACTAAATTGTATTCTTTTGCAGGGAATCCTAGCTTTATTTTTGTGTAGTACAAGATACAAGTTAACCAAATTACAACATGTTAAGGAATTGAAGAACAAGTGGCTAAGAACGGGAAAGATTGACTTGTTCACAAAGTCTTTCAAGTATAACTAAAACATACGCAAGTATTGAACAAGTGCAGGTCTTTGTTCATCAAAAACTATAAAACGAAACATGAGCTAGAATTTAAAAAACAATTACCAAGAACATCAAATATGACAGTTTTTCCCAAAATACCCCCGACAGCAAAACTCAATAAAGAAATAACAATTGAAGAATATTTATAACTGAAAACGCTAAACAAAAACACTAGCGGTTGCATCAATGGAAGATCTAGGAAGACATTAGGATTAGCATAACAAGAAGAAACATCCATCTCTTAATTTGCAATTCTATAATTCCCATACAAGTAGTTTTAGGATTTCTACAAAGAACATTCCTTCGGTAAACATCTCAAAACTGTCATGATTAAATGATTAATAGACGTCATATTCCAATTAAAAAAAATAAAAAGAACAAGTTTCATTTTGTATTGTAACCCATTAGATGCAGGCGATGATGGTCTCTGGGTCTCCTGTGACTTCTTGTTTTTTATGCACCGATTAGTAGTAATCAAGTAAGAAGGCGATTCAAGGATTGGTGGTCCAGTTTAACAACAAAAATGATGAATACTCCGGCGATAAAGAAAACTTAAGACGACGACGGAATAGGAGGAAGATGAAGGGACCGGCGGTGTAGTTTCTTTACTTACTTTTGTAATATAAAAATTAAAAAATATTGGTTCGGAACTAATTCACTGTTTTTGGGTAAATATATTTGAAACTACCATGTATTGTAAATAAGTTTTATGTTTACTATGATATGGTTAAATACTCAACAAAAGTTGGTGTACGTACCCAGCATCAAAAGGATCATAGGTTCCATATACTTCAAATCCAACAACCACATTTGGATCAGCATACTTGTGTAGTATTCTATGGTGTCTTAAACCATCTCTTTCCGTGAGTTGCTTCAACTCAACGCCATGGTTGGTGGGAAACGATCTTTCCAGCTTCAGAGTCGCCGGAAACCCAAGAGCACCAACGGCCTGCAGCAACACTAGACACAACACTGTCGAAAAACCATTGGTCGTACAGAAATATAAGAGAAAAGTAATAGTGTTGGAATGAAAAATCGTATAAGAGATAAGTAATATTGTTGGAATGAAACATCATGTGGTGCATTTCATTACAGGGGAAATATATATACATGGAGAAGAAAACTATCAACCAACTGTAAACAATGATGAAATCAATTTCATTACAAAATACTGATTGAGATATTCATCCTAAAAATAGAACTAGGGCTCTTTCAACTAAATTGGGTTGTGGCCCCACGGTTTGAACTTACATGATATATTATAATTACACTTTTTTGTAGTTACATTTCTCATTTATATAGTTACTATATTTAATTACGATTTATTTCTTTAATAATATTAGATAATATATATAATATATATATAATATATATATATATATATATATATATATATATATATATATATATATATATCTTTGTCAATATATATTGTCAACAATTATAGGAGCGACAAATTGTAAAATGTAAACATTATCAAAAGATTATATAGGTTTATAGAAACACAAAGAAGTAATAAGATATGTTTGCATTAATGGAAAGAATGAAAAATTCATTCCAAGAAGTTGTGTGGAATTATTCTGTATCAAAAACTATCCGTTCTACTAACTAACGCTCCTATATATAATTGTTAAATAAGCATATGAAAGAATCCTAAGTCGAAAGTTCGGAATTAAGAAAATACGCTAAACATTACAACTAGACACAATATATTTTTGAATCCAAACATATATATATATATATATATATATATATATATATATATATATATATATATATATATATATATATATAAGTTCAGGTTTAGTTAAGACAATGTTAATTTTATGAGACCAAATCTAAAAATAATTTTAAAATGCAAAACAAAAGGAAAAATCCAAAAACTCTTTTTTTAATTATAATTTTTGGAAATTGAGTTATCTGAAAAAATAACTAAATAAAATTAAAAAAAAAATCCCGTTTTATTTTTAAAACACGTGAAATATTCTAATAGAATATTACACTATAAATATTCTAATGTGATCTTTAGAAGTTAGAATATTTGCCAGATATGTAGAATATTTCTAATATTTTATACTAGAACATGTAAAAAAATGTATTTTATTTATTTATTGTGGTATTTTTTTTGGAGAAAATAATTATTTCGAACATAATATTGGAAAATTGTTATTTCGAAAATTCTCAATTCTTTTTTATTTTAAAAATGTTTTCGTTTTATCTACTAAATGTGTATCTAGGATTGCATCTCACGGTCTCATAAAATTAGGCCATCTCACATTAATAAATAAATATAAAAGAAAAAAAAAACTTACATTGACTTCACAAGTGGAGTGAAGACTAGATCGGGCATGACTGGTGTGCCAAAGGCCAAAATCCCACCTCCATCACCACCAGCTAGACAATGTCCAAAGGAATTTGGTGCAATCCCTTGTGATGAATTTGGGAAATGATGGATATAATTTGTCTGCCCAATCCCATAATCTCATCAAGTGTTCTTTCCGTTTGACTTATCTGTCCTGTTTCGGATGTGCTACAGCTGCTCATGCAAATTCACTAAATCAACCAACTTATTTAAAGAGAATAAAAGAAGGAAGAGAAATTAAATTCTATAGTTGATGATACATGAGAACTTACCCAAATAAAACTGAAGTTGAAGTGTTCAACCAATCTGTCTAGCCAACAATTTTCTAAAATGCATCAAGTCGGATACATAATAACCTTATGTTCCACTACCAACCCCTTAGTGGAGATCGTAGGTGCATTGGTTATCTGAACATGAGTTGGATTTTGGAGAACTTTCGTCCTAGCATAAGATAGCAGAAGATGTTGACGAGTTTGCTGGATCATAGATAGTAATAGGAATTGTACAAAGAAAGAAATCATATATAAAATACCAATACTAGTTAATTGAAAAAGTCACACCTTATAAGAAATGATCAGAACATACTTGTAGTGTGGATGATGTAGGGCAAGATTGACAGGGTTTGCAACCGACCCACAACAAGTCGCTTCCTGTATCAACATACTAAGTTGTATTCTCTTTGCAGGGAATCCTAGCTTTATTTTTGTGTAGTACAAGATACAAGTTAACCAAATTACAACATTTAAGGAATGAAGAACAAGTGGCTAAGAACGGGAAAGATTGACTTGTTCACAAAGTCTTTCAAGTATAACTAAAACATACGCAAGTATATTGAACAAGTGCAGGTCTTTGTTCATCAAACTATAAAACGAAACATGAGCTAGAATTTAAAAAACAATTACCAAGAACATCAAATATGACAGTTTTTCCCAAAATACCCCCGACAGCAAAACTCTGATAAAGAAATAACAATTGAAGAATATTTATAACTGAAAACGCTAAACAAAAACACTAGCGGTTGCATCAATGGAAGATCTAGGAAGATATTAAGATTAGCATAACAAGAAGAAACATGCATCTCTTATTTGCAATTCTATAATTCCCATACAAGTAGTTTTAGGATTTCTACAAAGAACATTCCTTCGATAAACATCTCAAAACTGTCATGATTAAATGATTAATAGATGTCATATTCCAATTAAAAAAATAAAAAGAACAAGTTTCATTTTGTATTGTAACCC